CCGGCATAGACAATGAACAGCTGATTTATTGCATCAACACCCATGCAAAGGAGTTTGTTTAGCTTATAGAAATTAGTAGAAATCATAACATACCTACACTCAATCTTAGCCAAATGTTGCCATAGACCTCCCTAAATAATTCCATCTTTTGTAATCTTCTGAAAGACTGTAGGGAGGGGGCCTCTCTAATCTCTAAAGCAGGTGTCCCCAACCTCTGGGCCACAGAGACAGATCTCTCGCTCCCCGTATGCACAGATGCACGCATGCTCCCCACGCATGCACAGACACACAAATGCCCCCATGCACACACAGTTGCACACACCCAGCCCACGCATGGACACAAGTACCGGCCCCTGCATGCATGCACAGATGCCCCACCATGCATGTCCACCCCTGTATGCACACTACTGTCGCATGCATACATGCACACACAGACACCCCCCCACCTCCGCATGTTAAACTGGTCAAGGTTGGGGACCACTGCTCTAAAGGATGTTTTTTTCCATGAGGAGTGTGCCACTGATGAAAACACCTGATTCATAGTGAGAGTTTACTTTCCTTAGGGCAGCCACCCTCAGTAGTGAGACAAGGTAGATATTTGGGGGGAGATGCGCTTCAGCAAGTAATGAGGTCCCAAGCCCTTCAGGGCTTTATAAGTAATAACTAGCACCTTAAATCTGTCATAGTAGCTGAGAGGAAGCCAGTGCAGGCAAACCAGGATAGGGGAGATGCGATCAGACCTCCTTGTCTTAAAACTTAACCTGGCTGCTGCGTTCTGGATCTGCTGAAGCTTCCATACCATCTTCAAGGGAAGTCCCACATGGAGAGCATTACAGTAGTCAGTTCTTGAGATTACCAGTGCATGGATCTGGGAACTCTTGTTCAAATTGGACAGTCAGCCTAAGATGAAAAAAAGGTGGACCTGATTCCATACCATCTTCAAGGGAAGTCCCACATGGAGAGCATTACAGTAGTCAGTTCTTGAGATTACCAGTGCATGGATCTGGGAACTCTTGTTCAAATTGGACAGTCAGCCTAAGATGAAAAAAAGGTGGACCTGATCACGGTCACTTCCATACCATCTTCAAGGGAAGTCCCACGTGGAGAGCATTACAGTAGCCAGTTTTTGAGATTACCAGTGCATGGATCTGGGATCTCTTGTTCAAATTGGACAGTCAGTCTAAGATGAAAAAACGTGGACCTGGTCACGGTCAAAATCTGATGTTCCATGGACAATCCAGGATGATACTTAAGTTCCAAATCCAGCAGCCTTCGAGGGTGGACCATCCTAGTTGGTCCCGTCTCCTCGCAGAGGGAAGTCGCCAGTGTAAGACTAAATTTCAAGAGATAATAATTTGTCTGTGGCACTGGTGAAAAGGACACGTCTCTCGCCTTCAGTTCATGACCTCTTTGCCGAGAAACAAATACCAGATCAAGAGGATGGCCTGCCACATGTGCAAGACCAGTTACGAATTGTGAAAGGCCTGTGTGTCAGATTTGTAAAAGCGCCAAAACTCCAAATTTTTTTGTATTTTGAATTAACTTTTTAAAAAATACAATGTACATTATGTCTTGAGAAATTTGGCCACACCTCCCATCGCAACCACTTCTCTTTCACTCTTCTACTTCCCTTGCCTCCACCCACCCACTCAAGCCTGGCAACAGCTGGTCTTTACCCTTTTAGCTCAGCTGTCTCCTGTCCTCTTGCCACCTGAGGCCACCAGGGGTGAGCAAATGGTAGACAGTACAAAGAAAGGGGAAGATTCCTGCAGCTGAACGGTCTCTTTCACCACCACCCCCTTCTGTTTTCTTTCTTGCTAAATGGGACAATTCCAGCAGTTGCGGTCTGTTGAAAGCATGTTTTCTCAGAATCATTTCTATAGCTTAAAAATGAAATGGTACTAGGAGCCCCATGGTAAACCTGCAGTACTGCAGTAAAACTCAGTTCACCTCTTGAGTTCTATCCTGAGCTCAGGTTGACTCAGCCTTCTGTCCTTAAAAGGTTGGTAAAATTGAGTAGCCAACTCGCTGGGGGGGGGGGAGGGAATGTGCAGTCTCCATAATTCAATGGAAAACTGCTTGGAGAATGCTTTAAGCACTGTGGGGTGGTATATATAAGCAGCACTCTGCTTTGTGAAATAAGCTAGAAATGAAATGAACAGACATGCAGATGTTAAGTTGCGTGCAGGATATGAAATTCAATACAAGAATGGTTTGCTTCCATTTAGGTAGGAGTTGGTTTGGTTGTAGCATTTATTAACAGCCGTCGTAAACATCCACCAGCAAATGGCATAAAAGCAATTAGATTTTTTGAAACAAAATAACAGATAGGAAAAGATACTTCTTTAGACTACAGCACATTTTCCATCTCTGCTGAGTGAGTCATAATAGTGTAGAATTTGTCGCTATTTTTTTAAATAAAAATATTTTTAAATAAAAAATTTATTTAAAATTTTTAAATAAAAAAATTTAAATTAAAAATTGTCACTAATTTCTAGTTTTATGCAAGAGATATTTTTTGTTGGCTTTAGCTAAGCTTTTGTGAAACAGCACCACCTATTGACTGCCTTCTTACTCAACTTTCAGCTTTGTTCCTGCATTACTGGTATGTCCAGGAAATCTTAACCCCAGATGTATTGGGGTTTCGTGTGGATAATTTTTTTAAAGAGACATGATGCCCCAAGGGCATCATGCAACAACCACAGGTCCTACTAAAAGGCTGTGGAGCATCACCACTGTGCTCTGTAACTGGGATAGATGTCATAGTGGATTGCTCCTAAATGTAGTGAAGAGTTAATATTAGCCCTAAAGAGGAGGGTAAAACAAATGCAAGCACAGAGTGGAAATTGTGTTGTTGCTGGGTGTTGCAATAGGTTATGAACAAGGTTCTGTACACGCTAGGATTTCTGGTAGGCGTAGTTGACTCATGACAATATCGGGGAGGGGAGTTTACGTTGGGTGATGAGCCTCCCCCTCTGTTGGTGGAACTCTGTAATTCAGACTTCCATCAAAGCATCTCTGATGGCCGGGATGCAGAATGCAGATGGAGCTGGACTGCAGCTCCCGTCAGCCTTACCCAGCACTTCCAATAGAGAAGAAGAAGGCTGGGCATTATACTCTAGCAACAGTGGGAGGACCACATATTCCCTGTCCTGAGTCAACAGAGGAGACTGAGATTTGAACCCAGGTGTTCTGAGTCTTAGTCCATCACTCTATCCAATGCACTACACTGGGTCTATGGTTAATTAGTCATAGTTTATTGCTGACCTTAACAGTCTGTGGTTATAAACTTGAGCAAAAAAAAGTCTGTCAGTAGTGCTAGTATTCATGGTCTCCACCTTTTAGCTCCTATGCATTGGAGGTGAACTGGGGGGGGATGCCTGTCTGTGGTTATAAACTTGAGCAAAAAAAAAGCCTGTCAGTACTGTTAGCATTCATGGTCTCCACTTTTTAGCTCCTGTGCATTGGAGGTGAACTGGGGGGGGATGCCTGTGGGGAAGCTTCAACCTCTCCCCCCATGCGTGATAGGCATACCTACACCTGAAACGGGGGGAAGGAGGAGAAGAATCTTAAATGGGATGTTACATATTTAACAAAGAAAACTGGACACATATTCATACTATTGCACAGTTATTAACTACAAAGTAACACTGGGTACAGAAATTATTGCACATTTTATAGATTTCACTAGTAGTGGTCAATTTGCATTTCATCATAATAGAATATTTAGTGTTTTCATGTTCTTTGCATTCCAGGTATTTTTGCCAAGATCCACCTCAGAGAGCAGTAACTTTGCTAACCAGTAAGTTACCTTCAAGCAAATGACAACCCCTCCAGCACTGTTCTTCTTTGCAAAAACAGTAATGGTTTTCTTTCCTGTGCTTTCATGTCTGGAGGCCATGAAAGGAACATCCCTGAATAATGTTAAGACTATGGATACCTTTGGGCAACCTGTATAAAATGACAGCATACTGTTGGCTGATCTCCTCTGGATTGCTTCTGATATGGACAAATCAGTTCTGTTGTCTAACATAGTCTAGCAGTATTATTTTCCCCGCAGCCTATTGGAGGTCCAAGGAGTGTTGGAAATAACATATTTTTAGTGAAATCTTGTTTGCACTGCTGCTCTGTATACTCTGAGCCAGTACAGGAAGGGAGAGCCTAGCTCCACCTACGTAGTACTAGCTGGACACTTTCTTTCTCAACAGACAGTTAGGCCTGTGCTAGGCCATGTGGCCTTTTCCCAGTTAGGCCTTTTCTCCAGGTGAGCCACATTTAGGTATCTGTACATATGGGCCTGCCAAGTGGAACAGGTGAGCCACATTTAGGTACTGTACAGTATCTGTACATATGGGCCTGCCAGGTGGAGCTCCCTTTCCAGAGTCTGGGAGCAGCAACAGAGAAGGCCCTCTGCGGTGTTGCCTACAAAGGTGGTGTCTGGGAGCAGCAACAGAGAAGGCCCTCTGCAGTGTTGCCTACAAAGGTGGTGGAACCAAGAGAAAGTCCTCTCCTGGTGATCTTAAACACCCAAGCAAACTCTTAAAGGGAGATGCAGCCCTTGAGACAGCTTGGGCCCAAGCCATATAGGACTTTATAGGTTAGAAGAAGCACTTTGAATTGTACCAGAAAGAGTTTGGCAGCCAGTGGAGTTGCTGTAACAGCTGCAATCCCTGCGACCCTGGCAGCCAGTGGAGTTGCTGTAACAGCTGTGACCCCTGCTACCCGCCCCATTCAGTGGACTGGCTGCTGCATTTCAGGCTTGTTGAAGTTGTGAGACACTTTCTAGAAGCAGCCCCATGTCGAGTGTGTTACAGTCATCCAGTGGGTTGTAACTAAGGTCACTGTGGCTGGAGCCGACCTTTCCAGGGCGCCCCAGTCAGCAGTCTGGCTGCTGCATTCGGACTCATTGAAGTTGTGAGACACTTTCTAGAGGCAGCCCCATGTCGAGTGTGTTACAGTAATCCAGTGGGTTTTAACTAAGGTCACTGTGGCTGGAGCCGATGTTTCCAGGGGTGGGTGCAGCTGGCATACTAGTTTTAACTGTGCAAAGGCACTCCTGGTCACCACCAAGACCTGGTCATCCAGGCTCAGAGACAAATCCAGGAGTACCCCCAAGTTGCACATCCGTGTTTTTGGAGGGAGCGTCACCCCATCCAGCACAGGCTGCATCCCTGTTGCTTGATCTGCCTCTCGACTGACCAGGAGCACCTCTGTCTTGTCTGGATTAAGTTTCAGTTTATTTACCCTCATCCAGTCCATGGGCTATTATTTACCTCCAGCCAGTCCATTACTGACCACCAGACACTGATCTAGATTTGTGGTCCAGAAAAATCCAATAATCCCATGGCTGGTGACAACGCCCTAGTGTAGGCCTAGTGTGTGAATTCTTCAATAAGCAAAGCAAAGCTTAAAATGGGACTCTGTCTCATGTGCCTGGATAAGAGTTAAGCTCTATGAGTACATGGTTTGCTTCATTCAGATCAGCTTTCCCAGACCAGGCACCCTCCCAATCAGATTAGACTGCAGCTCCCATCCTCTCGGGAGGTGATGGAAGTTCTTGTTCAACATATAGAAGCACCAGGTTAGGGAAGTTTGATATAGATACTGAGTGACTTTCCCTCAGCATGAGCACTTGTTTCTGAAGCAAGCTGGAAAACATTGATCAAAAGTCTTCGTTGTATACCTTGATCTTGCCTCCCCTCCCCCCACTCTCTTGTGTGATTTCAGTCTTCCTTTTGTTTTGAGAATCAACAACAAAAAAAGTGAAGCCATTCTGTTTTTCAGCCATTCTCCATACAGTTCAGCTTCCCTTGCTGGGGAAGGGGACTCTCTTCTGCTCTTCAGACATTGAAGAGGCTCTTTTCCAGTTTTGTTCTAGGATAAATAGATATTTAATCTTACAGAACAGTTATTCTCCCTTGTTGTTCCTACAATATGCATGAATCTCTCCCTTGTTTAATTTTACTGTGTCCAGCAGATTGCTCTGAAAAATTATGGAAGGTGGCCAGTGTAGTCAACGATTGAATGGCTTGGAGGATTCTGAGAGTTATAGTCCAAAAGTAGCATCTCCAAGTTCTGATGTAGCAGATTGCCCAGCATAAACGGTGCCCCCCTGCTCTTTGGATTCCATTCCATTTTTATTTTTATAAAATATATATATTTAAAGTAGTGTGTGGATTAGGTGCCAGCACAATTTAAAGGAGAAGCAGAGTAAGAGGAACAATGTCTTGCTAGTGGACGTTGCCTTTATGCATTTGTATTCTATTGATTATGCTGTCTTTTATTAATTTGTAGGCACTCACTCAAGAAGCCTGAGAGGCAGGCCAAAATTGCCTACGATTACTCAGAAGAGGAGCTGATGGCAACAATTGAGCAAGAGTACTGTCGCTGAAGTCAGGGCTGCGTGGGCCTGACTTTAGAGAGGCACACGGTGGGTCAAGATGATTAAACAACAATGCCGGGTGGGGAGAGACAGGTCCCAGTCTGCACAGGAAAATGACCCTGCCCAAGAAGCTGACGGTGGAGGCCCTGTTCTCTGGAACATGTGGCACAAAAATGGTGTTTGTACAACTTCTGGTGCTGTGGAGTCAGAATGCCGTTTTGGGGATGGGCCGGTTGGAAGAGGCTGAATATATTTTGGAGAACAAAACCTCAAAGCAGGGACACAGTGACTATCCAGTTTAATTTCTCTCTTAAAATTTGAAAATTGGAAGAGCCACTTTTCTTCACCCTTTGGGGAGATGCTCAGTGAGGGACTTGAATGCGTTATTATGACCTCTTATGCTCTTTGCCTCAGTTTTCTTAGAACTGTGAGCCACGGTGAATCTTTTCTGTCATAAAACCCAAACCTGCACATTAACGTATGTGCCTCTCTGTGTTGTTGGTGGATATTCGCCTCTTGGCAGTTGTAAATTCTCCTTAAAACTAGAATGAATTAGAATGGATTTAATAATGCCGCCATCCTAATGAAACAAACAAACAAAAAACCAAACAGAAAAGGAAAAACGAGTTATAGCATCTTTAAGACAGATAGAGCTATTTAAACATGAGTTTTTGTGGGTTATCATCCACTTCATCAAATGCATTGAGCCAACCCAATATTCACGTTTTTAGTGCACACACATAGAATCATGTCACAGGAATCAAAATGAGATGGGATACAGAAAGAGGAAGCACTTACCTATGTAGCTATCTTCGTGCTTTTTACTGGGGTGTTGTAGACCCAGCCAAAAATGTCTTTGGAAAAAGACACATACTTAGAAATGACATTTTGGGATCTCTTGAACTATTCATCCCATAATTCCTTATTCTGGGAGTTTTGTCTGATTTACACACGCCTTACCAACACCTCAGTGTGGCTCACTTGGGACAAAAGGCTAAACTGGAATGCGGTGATGCTTGGCTAGGCCTAGCTTCAGCCAAGCTTCCTGTTCCTGCCCCAATGCTGCCTGGGAGCATTCATTCTGAACAGGAAGCTAGTTAGAGCTAGGCCTAGCTAAGCCTCACTGCATTTCAGTTTAGGCCTCTTCTCTCAGCTGAGCCACATGTAGGTGTCTGTAAGTGTGTGTAAATCGGGTAGGATTCCCAGAATGGAGAGTTAAATGATCAGTAATCCAAGAAATATGAGCCCCCCATTCCTGGTCCTTGTCTGCCTTCCCAGGCCATTGTTGTTTTGGAAAACAAACAGGGTGAACTCCATTGGTTCTTTGCAGTGACCAGTGCAGATGAAAATATCCCTCAAGATGCACACAACCCACAATGACAGTTGAAATGTTATTTCTCAGCACAGCAATAACTAAGGTGAGGCTACCAGGGATGTGGAATAGGGAAATAGCAATCTCTGTTGTAGATCCATTCATTACTATTCTGCCTACTACCAGCCCAGATCGTTTTCTGTATACTTAGAAGGAACTAGACTGACTATAATTTACAACCCTCCAAAGCAGCCTCTGAAGATGTAGCAGTGAAACGGATGCCTTCACTCACGTCATGGTTTTACTCTTGTATGTTGAAAGTAACAATTATTTTTCTGCTCTTATCTAGAGGAAAGTGACTGCATGTGTCATCACTATTTCCATGTTTTTTTCTGCTGACAAGACAGTCTTGCAGAAACACTGAATGTAGTTTAAGAATAGCTTTCAGACCACTGCTGAACGCTTAGTGACAAACCTATGGGGAAGACTCAAGGAAGAATCACTCTATCACAAAACTCTGAACGGAAGCTGAATGGGTCAGAGCTAATGTTGTCGAGACTGAGTATGTTTATGGACAGTGCAAGGGTGATACTGTCTAATTCCAGTTTCTGTTGTCTCTGCCATACAGTGGTGCTAGTCCTTCCAAATAACTGGTGCTAAAATCCTCTTGAAGGTCAAGGATGTCATTGATGCAAGTCAGCCTTCCACAGGAACAGATCGCAACTACAGTACTCCATGCATAGTAGCTGTGGCCAATTCAACACTTAGCGGTCATCTTTCTGGTGACAGATCTCATGGTAATTAGCAAGGCTGGCCGTCAGACAACAATCTACCTTTCAGTTCATACTCTTAAGCTTTGCCAGCCCAATGGAGTCTGCTACAGCTTACGGTCCACTGGTGTCGGTTTGAGATCCCTGGATCACATCCTTGCCAAGATCAAGTGCTGAGGAGTGTTTGAGTCAGAGGAAAACTGATAAAACTGCACGTATACCAGAGGAGGAAACACAATAGAAAAAGGCAACATTAAAATACATATTCCAATTTAGATTCACAATGTCATCCTGAGCTCATAAGGCAAGTATACCAGAACTGATTTTAACTTTGAGTGATACTTGTATTTTTTTTTTACTTTTATAAATATATGCACATCAGGAAACTTTAATTTTTTTAAATAAAAGTTAAGCATTTGATGATTCAAAAACTAAATACAATTTATCTCCCATTCTTGATTATAGCTTTGGTTCCCAAAGCAGTCTAGGAATGGACAGCACTAGGGCCACTATGTTCTGGAAGCACACTGTGATGTTTCATTGTTAATGTATTCTCAATACAGCCCCTGGTGCACAAAAGCCTTTGCAAAGTCAATTTGACTCCATATAGAAAGATGCTAGAATCACAGTGACTGATATTCAGTGATGGATCACAACTAGAATAGGCTGGTTGAATCAGAAAGGGTTTGACTAATCAACTTCTCTGTGGGTTCCATTGATTCAATGGCATACTCTAGTTGTGACTTACTACTGGATTTCAGCCAGTATTTTACATAGACTACCTGTCCATGTTATCATATAAAAATTACTGCCATAATCACCACATTTTCCTTTCACATGGAAGTGTTTGCTTCAGGTGGCAATTGTCTGTAAACAAATTTCCTTTGCAAGAAGGATTTACCCTTCATTTTCATTGCCCATCCGTCTATCCAGTAGTAAGTCGCAACTAGAATAAGCCATTGAATCAGTGGAACTCAGATAGAAGCTGACTCACCAAATACCCTCTGATTTACTACTGGTTTTCAGTCAATGTGAATCTGTCAACCTGTCTTTATGGAGTCAGGTTGACTTTGCAAACAGATCTAGCTGTTCTGCTAAGTAGCATTCTGCAAACTAAATGTTACCTATTGTTTAGTCAAGTCGTGTCCGACTCTTCGTGACCCCATGGACCAGAGCACACCAGGCCCTCCTGTCTTCCACTGCCTCCCGGAGTTTGGTCAAATTCATGTTGGTCGCTCTTAGACGACACTGTCCGGCCATCTCATCCTCTGTCGTCCCCTTCTCCTCTTGCCTTCACACTTTCCCAACATCAGGGTCTTTTCTAGGGAGATTTCTCATGAGATGGCTAAAGTACTGGAGCCTCAGCTTCAATGTTTCCTATACTAAAAAGCAAAACAAAAAAGCACCCCAAAAAACTTTTTAATAGCCTATATGGATGTGAGAAAAGGTCTTACAACTCTGCTCTTTCCTGGGAACTGTAGTTCCTTATATTATCAAAATGTATTTGAATCCACTTTTTAACTTTTAGAATGAACTCACTACAGCACCATTCATGTGGAACGAAGAATGGATTAAAATCATTTTTTTTCTGTATCAGTTACATATGTTTACTTGCATGTTTTTCACATAAGGTTCAAGTGCATGTTGGCAAGACATCTGGCTTTACAGGAATGGATATAGAAGGGAAATAGACTTAAGACAGACAAGGGGAACCATGACCTTTCCTGGTGTTTGGGATTAAACCGCTTCAAAAGCCCCACACTTACCATTGACCGTGCTGTCTGGGGCTCTGAGGAGCTGCAGTTTGGAAGACCAGGAGGCCCAACATTTCCCTGCACATGGCTTTAAAGTACCCGAAACGTGGTCCAATTAACACTTCATGCCATCTTCAGTGACCAACTTCTAATTGGGAGTGTCTTCATACAGGATAAAATGAATGGTGGTGAACCGGAATGGGAAGGAACTTCAAGATTTAACAGTCTCAACAAGGGCAAACCTATTTGTACTTCTTCAGGCTTGTGAGATCTGGTGTAGCGGACCTCTCAGGTGCTGAGCATCAGAACTTTTGGCAGGAAGGATGGCATAGTGAGTTGTGACTCCTATATCCCACCCACCCCAGTTTCCTTGTCCTTCCTGGGTTTAGCTGCAGTGTTCACAATAGCTGGAAGGAAAAGGGATTTTTTCCCAAAGGAACAACATATTGAGAGCTATCCTTTGTGGTAACATAGAATGTTAAAATGGTAATCTGACCAGCAGCCATGTTAGTCTGTTGTATCAAAAGAGTAACCAGAGGCCATGCAGTACCTTTATGACTACCTGGTTTTTATTTTCTGCAAACTGTCCAAGCACACTTCTTCAGATGAATGAAAGGTCTTAAAGACTTCTGGTTTCTCATAAAGTATTCGGGGCTCACTTGCCCCTGAATGGGCCATTAAGATCCTTAAGAGTTGCAAGAACACAAAAACCAAAACACCAAGTAGGGTTCAGAGAAACACAATGACATCCACACAGGGAGATTTTCCCACCCCAACTGGCAACTCAACAAAACCTAGCTGATGGGGCTACATGACTTGCTGCCTGTCTGCCTTTGGGCAAATTGCACAGTCCCAGAGCGCCACCAGAAGGAGGAATTGGTTGACCACCTCGGAGTACTTCACATCTAGATAACTCTGGGAGGGCCATCATATGCTGGAACTGACAGCACATGATGATGATGATGATGATGATGATGGCATAGATGTTCCCTCAAATGGGCTGAATAAACTTCAGATGAGTGTTCTTCGTTGTGTGTATACTCCCATGCTGAAAGTAAAATCTATTTAAATATCACCAACAGATGAAGCTGGTTGGAACATCATGGATTGTTTCCCATCAAAATGATCTTCCATTCTGCAAGTTGAAGAGTGTGAAAAAGAGGACAGGGTTCCTGTTGTGTGGAGGATGCACTTTCAGCAGCTGTAGCTTGCGTTAACAGCTCGCCCTGGTGAAATTTCCTTTTCTAAGCAATGGTTAAATGTACAGGAACCCTATCCCCTTTTTCCTCTGGTCAGCCAGAGTTTGAACAAATTGTGTTTTTAATTCAGCTTTGAATGGCATCAACAGAAACGAGCCCCTTATCTAAAAGGCAAGGATGAAGAGTCATCCCAACTGAGAACAGAGGGACAAAGCTTGATGCAGTGAGATCGAAAACACAAAAGGAGGAGAGAAAAGGAGCCAGCTACCAGCTCCCATTTTTTATTTACATCTGTACTTCCCCCAACTTCAGTGTCCAAGACAGCCTCCGCCCTAAGCATAATAATGGCCACTGTCCAATAGAGCCATATGGATGTACTTGGGCTACAGAAGCATCCATTTTTCCTTGGCTGGCCTGTTCAGCAGCACAAATAGTGGTGTGTGTGTGTGTGTGTGTGTGTGTGCGCGCGCGTGCGTGCGTGCGTGCGTGCGTGTGCTTGTGTGTGTGTGTGTACACGCTCTGCCCTCCTTTGCTGGATAGCAGTTGTGATGGCCAGGACTAAAACCGGTCAAAAAAGCTCAGTGTTGTGCTTTTTAGCCTGACCTCTTTTAGCCTGCAGGGGTGAGACTGCAGAAGAGTGTCCCTTCAATTTCTCTTGCTTGGCTCTGCCAGGATCTTAACAACATTTTCCCCTCAGAGCTGGATAGATTGCAAAGTCTGGCGTCTTCTGGAAAGCAGTATCAAGACAGCTCCTGATAACTGTTACCAGAATATGGGTCATTATGGCGGTTGGGGAGTATATGGAGAAAAAGGTTCATCTACCTCCAGGTGATACCCAGTGTGGGGTAGTGGACAGAGATGGATTGGGACTCAGGAGGCCTGGGTTCGAATCCCCACTCAGCCATGGAAACTCACTGGGGGTGCATAATTAGTAAAACACCTTAAATGTCTCATTGACCTTGAAAGCTCTATTAGGGTCACTGTAAGTCAATTCTGACTTGGCAGCACATACCAACACAGTATGTCTCCAGGACACCTTACACAATCAGGTTATCTTGCATGTGGAAGGCAGGCTTTTATCACAGCAGTATCCCAACTCAACATTGTTCCTTGCTCCTATGTAAATGGTAAAAATTGACACCTATGAGGAAACGGAAGCAGAGGTCCTCAAGGACATCATGTGTCTAATCCTTGAGAATCAAAGCATCCTGGCTTTTCCTTCTTGGTCACACTAGAATGTGACAGAAACTGACTTTCCAATGCAGTTTCGTGGCTGTTTTGTACTGTGGTGGGATTTAAGAGGATGAACACCGGAAGATGTTCCGTTACAGGACCAACAGGGGCTTGAGGTGCAGAAACCCACACACATCAGAATGGAAAGCAAGCGAGGGAGCAACTTGTGCCTGTTCAAATCCTGTTGGGCTGTTTTTCTCATCAGTCTTAGCCAGCATCACCTCTGGTGAAGAATCACCTGGATCCTCTGCACCTGGAGGGCCATCCAGGAGCCAGAGACTTAGGATGCAAAGGGTAGTGTTCTCTATTATAGAAACAGTGAAATCCAAACGAGCTGGAAGACAGAGGCCGACAAAGAAAGCAATAAAGACAAGAAGGGAGATGGGAAGAAAGCAGAGGTTGAATACTACTTACATTGCAAGAATCAAGGAAACCCAGCAGGGTCAACGGAAGCACCATTAGAGCCAAATAAAGAAGAGTCTGTATTTGATTCTTTTCATTCATAGTCTATTATTATTTGCATATTTCCTACACATTTGCAAGAACTGAAGTAATCTTGTGATCTCAGCTGGGAATATCTCTCTTAGGCGCCAATTTTCCCCCTGCCCAGCTATGTATGAACTAATTCTAAATTATTCAGTGAGTTAGAATTGCAGAACAATGGAACTGGAAGGGGCCTGTAAGGCCATCAAGTGCAACCCCCTGCTCAATGCAGGGATCCAAATCGAAGCAGATCTGGCAGATGATTGTCCAATTCTCTCTTAAATGCCTCCAGTGTTGGAGTGCTCACCACCTCCCGAAGTAATTGATTACATTGTCGTACTGCTCTAGCAATTAAGAATCTGACATTCCTGTTACATATATGAGCTAACAATATCAACAGCATTAACCACTGGACTCATCTTTCCCCATTGTTCTGAAGTTAGGCAAGGTCAACCTGAAAGGAGAAAAATGACAACAAAACTGTAATGTAAATATCCACTTTTACTAGAAGAGGAATTACAATGCAGCCCTTGGAGAAATACAAACAGTATTTGCATATACACACACAAATATAGGGATTTCACAATAAATGCTGGACAGGAAAAAAACAAGGTTTATTCATATAAAATATTAGGCACAATATTTTACTACGAAGAACATACGTTCCCATAACCTTGAGTCAGACAGGTAATAATCAGGATCAGATATTAGTAAAGTTTTGAAAGGGCCCTCAAATTATGTTTATTAATATTTTGTACTTATCGATTTGTTTCAGAGGGATGCTTTCCCCACAATTGTGTTGCTCTGATGTGGCCATTAAGATTTATTATGTATACTATAAAAAATTAACAAATGCATAGAGATTGAGTGCAGTTTCCACAATTTGTGTATTATAGATGGGCAGGAGTCACGGAACCACATCAGTCACACACCATCAAGGCTGTGGGTGAAAAAAAGGCCCTATTCTAATCTTTGAAAGGAAGCCATTTCTGCATGAAAGCAAGATGCCCAGGGGACACAGGTCTTGTCTACTGGCCTACCAGTATTTCCTCCAAGCTTTTGTAACCACTAAGAGATTTCTAAAAAAAAAGGATTGCACTTCCTGAACTTCCACAATGAAACATGAACTCTGCAGCCTGCATTAAAAAAAGAGAAATAAATCAGGGGACATATGTGACCAACCATGATTTGCATGCTTGCTCAATTTGTGGTTCATCAAATGCATTTAACCACCATGTATATTTTGACAGGGCATTAGAAAAAAACCTGCTTCTGCCTGCCACTTGATAAAAGACACAGAGATTCTCAGACACTTGGGAAATTGTGTGCAGGGACGGGAAATATGGGCGCTTCCAGCTGACAACCCAATAATGTTGGGTTGTCAGCTCCAGCTAGTATAGCCATGCAAGGATGACGGACTGTGAACACAGCCGTCCACCAACATCTGGCAGGCAGCCACTCAGCTCTGAATCACTGGTAGTCACCAAGTCTGATGGCCTGGTTTAACCTCATTTCAAAGAAAGCCTAATTACATCACTTGGACTGAGAATACGGGAGAAGCTGAAAAATTTTCATCAACTCAAAACATTATTTACTTCATGTATCAATGATAATTGCTGTTATTTGCTTTTATTTTCTTCAGGACAAGGAAACAGCTGTTTCTATTACAATCAACTTTATTATGAGCTATCATTCAATTCAATAGGAAAAGACACAGGAAGCTGTATGTTTAGGATGGACAAGGAAAGAGTTGTGGCTTTGCAGACTCTCAAACCACACAGAGGGACCAACCCTTTGTTTTGTCCCTCCTCACCCTTCTGCCAGAGAGCCTGGAAGAATTTTAGCAGCTGAAATTGCTCCTAGCACGCTAATGATGTGGCAGGATAAACTTCCCTTCATAAATTTCTGCAGATGAAGCTGCTGTGGAGGTACAAAAAAAGCCGCTAGCACATACACACATGCCAGCAATCCTGTATATCAACACTGCCTCAGCATCAATCTAGTGCACGTTTTTACAATTGAGCTCAAATCACTTATTTTAAGGGGTATTGCCAATAAATTAACATTAGAGTAAATGTTTTTAGATTAGCTTACGGTATGGCAACTTTGGTTTAATAACAGCGCTATGTGATTACTACAACAGTAATGAGAGATCTATCTAGTTTCTGATACTAATAAAATGTCAGCTATTATTGTTGTTTAATCATTACGTCGTGTCTGATTCTTTGTGATCCCATGGACCAGAGCACACCAGGCCCTCTTGTCTTCCACTGCCTCCCGGTGTTGGGTCAAATTCATGTTGGTAGCTTCAATGGCCAGCTATTATACCACAGACAAATACACCATGCTTTCATCTGAGATGGTAGCTGAAGGATCTAAGATGTCTCATAATTCATTTTTCTCTCAATACTCCCAAAAAGACAAAATAACAGCAGCTCTATAATTATCTGTCACTTCCTTGTTACTTAGTCCCTGTGCTGTGGACAAGGAGGCCACAAGAACAGCATCATTATATTTTTAAAAAGCATTTTTTTTCGTTCAAAAGCTAAACATTGGAGGGGGGTGTTCATGAAATAGAAATCTCTGTTGTAGATCCATTCACTACTATTCCGCAGAATTTTGCAATTGTTATAAATTGCTCCCATTTTAAAAGCACACATTATAAGGTAGAGGGTTGCATTCAATGGTAATCTTCCACTGACCAAACATCATTTGAACATGGATCTCCCCCTTACCCTGTAGTACGCCCATCTGTTCTTGAGGAATGAGAAGCACTGGGTGAGAGGAATGCTCAGAAAAGGTAACTCACACAATGAATGCGCTGGATTTAATTTAGCACTACAAATGACTAAATGCTCCATATGGAAAATGAAGCTAACGTGGTTTTTGGTTGCTCATCTTCCATAGAACCAATTAAGCTACACCTGTGGTAGCGGGATGAGAAGTCACCCAATTATTTGCCAAGATTATTTAAAATAGGTCATGCACGAAATGCATGCTTAACTTTTGACTCCAGCTCTTAATTTATTTTAGAGCAATATAATAAAACAATGAAGTTGTTCCAATCCCAGTGCTAGCTGGGAGCTTCTTCTTTTTTTGAACAGGAAGTTAGGTCTAGGTAGGCCTCAAAGCCTTCTACTTAGGCCTTTCTCCCAGGTGAGCCATATGTAGGTGTCTATCAGTCAGATATAACTCCAGAATGGAGAATCATGGCATCTGTAATTCAAAATATCCCCAAATCCCATCTCTAATCAAGGGCATAATGCAATCAGACTCAAGCCCTTATTTCCCAGTAAATGCAACAGAACATATTTAAAGAAGTAATTCACTATCCCACTGAAGCCCATGAGGCACAAAAGTCCTGAACGCTGAGAGTTTTGTACTACTGACCAGAGTTTGGAAAAATTACATTTTTGAACAGACTCCTTAAACCAGCATGTCAAGTATTATGTGATTTATGTAATCCTCCACCTTATGAACTGGAGAGTACTGCATATTAAAGTAAAAAGGACACTTCTAACATCACAGTATCAAAACACAAGGGCATGCTAGCATCCCTCTGTTCTTTCATTACTGAGACAAACTTTACCCTTAGGACCAGAGCCATCTCGCCTGCCCAGCTGAAGGCAAATGAAAATACTGCAGCAGAAATGAGCTCATGTTCTGGAACTATCTGCCTAACAGACACAAGAGGATCACATGCAGCCCTACCACTAATCATTTTACTCATACGAGGGAACTTTACACAGCAAATGCATTCATTCCTGTGTATGCAGTGTTTGCATGCCAACACTTCCTGAGTAGCAAGCAAATGTCGCATACATATGGAACTGGGGCTAGGGAAAAACATGCTGGAGCACTATTGACCATACAGAATTATGACCCAGGCAAGGCCTCTGATGCTGATGAAGATGCTCTGTGCCACATCTAAAACAAGTTCACGGTGTGTATCTGGGCATCTTATCACCAGACATGGGAGAGAACGTCTGTGCTTAAATCTTGGACATGACAGAAAATCCTGAAGTGGACTCAGTTGCTTGATTGAGATTCAGATACTGTACTATTATAAATTCATTTGGATTGTGTTCAGCAAATAATAATAATATTACTATTAATAATAATAATGACAATAATAATGCAGTTGTGGCCTGCAGCTGAACAAATACAAGACAGGTAGGAAAACTAGTATAACATTGGGAATAAAATCCACCCTGTTTCACTTCCTATATACCGCTGTTACTCAAGTGAAAATATGTTTTCAAAGAACAAGCCACCAACATTCTCCTGTGGAAACACCACACCCATTTTTTTTTTGTTTCCCTGAAGTGCTAGTGAATGTCCCACAGTACAGAAGGTGGAAGAAGGGGGTGACAGAAATAAAACTGAGGTTAATGATTAAATAGGGCTTAAACTGAAGGGAGGGTACAGAAAAGAGGGAGGGACCTTTGCAGTCCTCCTCCCCACTCCAAAATTAGTGGACATTTAAGGGGGGGGGGAAGAAATCTATCAAAGCTGTTTTGCTTGGAAATTCCCACACTCCTCTTGAATTGTTCATTTCCACCAATAGGCTGGTTAGCCAGAAGACAGCATGGGGAGAAGCATGCTCAGCGTGCTCTCACTTCTGGGCTTCTCTATCGTGGAGATTCTGTTCAGTTTGCCAACTTCCGTCTGCCAGCTAGGCACCTTCTTTGTGGCCATGTGACGACGCGCGTGTTTTGTCAGGTGATCACTGCGCATGAACCGTCGGTCACAGACCGGGCAAGCAAACTTCTTCTCCCCTGTATGAGTTCTGCGGTGTCGAGAAAGTTCATCAGAGCGGGCAAACTTTTTATCACAGCCTTCCCAGCTACAGGTGAATGGTTTCTCTCCTGGGGAAAGAGATTGAAGGGTGGGAGAAAAAGAAGTGAAAAACTGAACGAGACAGCTGGCTTTATCAAGGAGACTGCAAAATACGTTAGGAGCAAACCAGAGACCGAGATTGGCTTCTCCTCTAGCTGACTACGTGAACTGAGGGGCAAACTAGGTGAGCCATCAATAATGCAGTAAGGTGGTTATGTGGGTGCTTAGGAGGTTGGAAGGACCCCAGGCTGTATTCAGAGAATCATTAACTCTTTGTTCCGCTGTGCTCCTCAGCTAGACCAGAGTCGTCAGTCTTTACAATCTGCATCTGAAGAAAATTTCCAGTTGACATAAATGTGAATTTTTCCTCCCATGCAGATCAGAGATGCTGACTGGGACCACAGCTGGAAGCAATGGGGTTTAACTATATATAACCTCTTCACTCTCTTGAGAGGTGAGGTCTAAGACATGTAGAAGAGCCAATGGTAAGAACCCTAACACTAAACCATGTGAACGGTATCATCATGCAGAGCTCTATTCGGGCATTACTCAGCCCAGCACAAGGAACACACTTAGAGGAGAGCAGCTAGCCCACCTCATTCTGTTGCCATGTTCTTCAGAGTTACAGTGCTACATCTGAAGACAAGATGTTGCTGCTCCATGTGAGCTCTACCTGCAGCTGAAAACCCTAGAAAATCTGGATTCTTGCTCCAAATGTAAGGCCTTCATGCGGATAGGACTGCTCTTCTCTATAGAACTGCTGCTGTGACAAAGAAAAAAAAGGATGACAGGTAGAAAAGGAGCTCCTCTCTCAATGCGTTCACAGCACTGGGCGAGTGACAGAGGTCCTTTTCAGACGTTCTGCTTAAGACTGAGAAGTCAGGCAGGGGGCCAGCAATTTCAATTGCTTTCTAGATAGTCCAGGTACTGTTTAGATGATGCAATTTGGGAGACCAGAAAAGGATGCAGCTGTGCTCTCTTTGAGTACGTGAAAAACAGCCCTTTCTCCCATTAAACGTTTTCTCCAGTCTCACGTTTTCACCTGCTCAAAACTCAGTTCTCAGATATGTTGCTACACAGCCATTAAAGAGACATGTCGCCTTCATTCTCATTTAAATACAAACCTGTATGAGTACGGAGGTGAGCTTTCAGGTGAGAGCTTTTGAAGTATGTTTTCCTGCAGCCTGGAAAATTGCAAACGTAATTCCTTCTCCGGGAAAAGTCCATTAAAGGGGCACTGCTTTGACCAGAGGCAATGAAAACCGGCGCCGGGGCCAGAGGCAATAACTTTGTATTCCCGACGGACATCATGGTTTGTTGGCCTGGCGGTGCCTGGGAAACTGTAGCCTGTGGAAGAACCAACATAACAGTCCCCTGAGGCACAGAAGGTCCCATCAAAACAGGCTGGGAAACAGGGGCTGTGTGGGGTAAGATGGGTTTGACTGTGGCTGCAGGCTGAGCAGAGGGCTTTAGGAAGGCGGGGACCATACCTCTTTGTCCCTCCAAGGGGATCATTTGGCAGATCACGGGTGGGTTTGAAAGCGGGGTGGGCAGCAGGGAGGGAGTCTTGTGTGGTGTATCATTTTCACAATGTTTCGGAAAGGGAGTCTGCTGCGGAGAAAGGCTGGGCCATTCATGTCCTTTACTGGAAAGTCTAGAAGGACCTAAGTTGGGCAAATAAGACTCGTGGGCTGGGGAAGTAACACGAGAGAAGTTGTCTGCAATGTTCTGAGAAATTCTGGAATGTTGCTCTTCTTGCACTTCACGCCCCGCTGCAGGACTACCGCTGCTTCTGCTGCCCGAGACCGTTTCTGCTTTCACTTGCGCGCCAGGAATGCAGGAGGAACCAGAACTGTCGCCTGTGTGACGGATCACACTCGTTGCCATGGCTCTGCAAAGCGGAGGAACTGGCTGCTCAGCTTTGGCTGGCTTCTGGCTAGACTGTCTCTCCATGTTCAGGACAGATGGCTGGGCTGCAGCAGCAAGAGGACAACCTGGAGACGATGTTCAGGACAGATGGCTGGGCTGCAGCAAGAGGACAACCTGGAGGCACGACAATGCAGGCAGACATGTTTGCCTTGATTGTCTGAGATTTTGAGCAACTGGCTTGTTGTGACGAGAGCAGTGATGCAGAGGAAGGCTCGACAAAATCAGGACTGTACGGTGGTGTCATACACTACAATTTTTAAAAACAGAAAAATCGTATTAGGATACCAGCATCAAAAAACTACCACTTTAGGTATGATAATTTCCTAGCACTGATGCTTACGATCCTGAAAGTCATGCTCTCTCTTTTGGACCCTTAAAACATAGCTATTTTGAAAACAGACACTTGCATCAATTTAATTATCTGTTTAAAAGCACCTTTTTCTGAATGATCATTAATAAACGTACTGCTGCATGGCAAGATTCATATTTTAGACTAGAACTGTAATCCCGAGTGAAGTTAAAGAACATGAGGGGCAAACTGGCAGCCTTAAATAGACTTGGTTGCTTAGATTACACCCAATATCAGAAGACAAAAGGAAAGCCGCAGAGTTTCAATGCAGTTCTGATGAAATGGGGTAATCATTTCAGAAACACCTGCAATATCCACTGAATCTAATCAGGCTTTCCTACCTTCCAGTTCTAGGCTAACAATGTTTCTGCCTGACACTTAATGAATGGGAAATCATGTGGTGCTATAAAACAAATAATTCTGGGGCTTATTATCTAAACATAAAACAGTTACACTGGAAACAGATGTCTGGCCAATAACAGAAAAAGCATGTCACTTGTAAAGAATTGCTACTTACTGCAACTACTACTACTACTCTCTCAAGCCAAATAAATGGTATAGTATTAGCAGATTCTCTGCGTACGTTTTATGTATTTTCTCTTTAAAATATCCAGCAAGTATCCCATTCAGTCTTTATACACACAGAACTCAAATTGTAGTGATCAGACGAGGTCATGTGCTTGGTTTTGTATGGCTGGTGCTCTGTCGCAAAACCTTCTGCAGCTACAACTCCATGCACATGTAAACCCTCAACAGGATACTGGCCATTATATTTACTCCATGCACGTTAATCTTCTCCCACCATGTTTTTCCCCCTTACCAGAGTTGATAAAAAGTTATAGTCCTTGGACAACTCCGATGTGGGTTCCGTGTGCATTGCAAAATCTCCTGAATCCGAAACAGGAGTAAGAGGTCTTATTTTTAAAAGGTCACCCTTCTGTGATCTTTGACCCCAGGAGCTCATGCAGACAAGCACCTCCACTGCTTCTATGTCATTCTGCTCCAAGGTGCTGCAAGAAGACCTTTCACTGTCATGCCGCTGTCGTTCCCGTATGGATTCATAGATGTCCACAATGTCAACCTACAAATAAATAAGTCATGTGTTTACCAAGCATAAACAACGGCTGACGCACACCTGTTGTCTGCTTAAAAGTTATTTTCTATCTTTCAGGGGTACGGAATCTGTTGCCTTCTAGATGATGATGGACTACAACTCCCACAATCCCCAGTCATTAGCCATGCTAGTCGGGGCTACTGGGACTTGAGTCTTGCACCAGACAGGCCACATGTTCCCTAGTCCTGATATATATTTCCATGTTCCAATCTTGCTAATGAAGTCGGCACACATAATCTGGGGAAGAGACCATAAAACAGGAGTGAAGCATATGATCCCTTGCACCTCGTTAAAAGGCTCTCGGACAGCACTGATGGGTAGGACCTCTGGACAGCTCCTGCCAACCAGAGTACAGAGTGCTCAGTCAGACGAACCAGCTATTTCAGTAGCTCCCAACCTTAGGTTTTCAGATGTTCTTGAACTACAACTCCCAGAAATCCTAGCCGGCACAGCTAGTGGTGAAGGCTTCTGGGAGTTTTACTCCAAGAACCCAAAGTTGGGAATCACTGAACTACTGTATTTGATTCAGTGTAAGTCTGCTTCTTCCATTCATAAGGAGACCTGCATGCATGGCCAAAAGTCAAGTAACTCAGATGTGCATATAGTCACATTTCCTGCATTGTTCTTGTTTAAGTGTGCTGACCTTTGTACACCTTCCGGTACACCTAACTATACAGTAATGTATTGTTCTTTCATCTACAGTTTTGTTAAGAAAACATAAATACTGACAACACAAGATATAATTGGAAACTTAAGCCACTGAGACCAATGGGAATTCAGCAAACCTCGCTGTACTGCATTCACACTACAGCATCTGTAGCGGGGAAAGGAACCCATTCCAGCCTAGGGATGGAATGCCAAATTGGGAAGGGTCTTGAGAGCTGCAGTCCATCAGTTGGCTGAGTTAAGGGTATAGGATGGGGATAAAGCAAAGTGGGCCGGGCTGGGTATCTACTCAGGAACAATCCCTGGTACAACCATTGGCAGGTCTCCAAAGCAAAGTTCAACGTTATATGTGCCTACTTAGGAGTATGCTCCAGCATACTTGCTTCCAAATCTGTAAAGTACAACTCAGTTCTATATAAGATATTTAAACTTTGAATGCTTTTACATACCCTCTTGGGATACCCAGCATGGTATCATCAATAGAGTGATGGATGAGGATTCAGGAAGCCTTAGGTTCAAATCCCCGCTGAGCCATGGAAACTCAATGGGAGAACAGACCTGGTAATGCCACTCCTTAAATATTTCACTTATCTTGAAAGCCTTATTAAAGTCACTATGAGTTGGTTCCAATTTGATGGCACATAACAACAAATACGCTCTTTGCTTCTACCACTCACAGGAGATAACATTAATAGAAGCTTGTTGACTATATGGGTACCTTTCTCATTCCTCCTGCCCCCTTTTCAGCTCCAAACTACCTTATGTATAAAAGATTCTATCCTTGGTCTTTTTTAAAAAAAATTTATATATGGTCTTTTTTTGTATATATACAAAATTTAAATATATACACTATACAAAAACAGAAATAACTATCCAATTCCTCCAAACTCTCATATGCCTTAAGAGCATTAAATGGTAGTACCCAATTAAGTTAGCACTCTATAAATCTGCATGGGAAGCTGTGGGAATGGCTGAAAGAATCTGTATGATTCTTCCAACACTGAATGGAAGGGAGCCAAGTTTTTTAAAAATTTAATCAGTACAGTAAGTTTTTTCCATCAATGCTAATTTCCACATCTTATGTTCTCAAGGGCTTATTGAGATTTCTATAGTATCTTTCCAAGCCTGAGCAGTTGTTTGTTTAGCTGCTGAATACAGAAAGGTGATTAGTCCCCAAGATAATAATCGTTCGTGATGTTATCGTTGCAGTTATACTAAATACTTTATACTAAATGTCCGAAAATTATCCTCCATTGATAACAATTGCTATACAGTACTTCTCTCCTTGTATACAACATCATCACTATTTTTGGCCAGTGCAAGCAAAACATGTTGGTCAAAAGCAACTCCCTCCAGCAAACAACTGTTGTGAAAATTCCTCTCAACCTGACTCCACTCTAAGACAACGACATCAACAGAGGACGGAGTGCTCCTACCTGAAACTCTCACAACAGTGGATCAGAAGCCCAGATTCAGAAGGAAAATGGAGCCCAATGATTGAGTAATAAGCTGCACAATGCTTAGAGAGATAATTCTCAGGCTTTATTAGATGTCCACAAATGCTCTGCACATGTGCACGTGCCCACACACACACGCACGCACGCACACGCACAGAGTACAAATGTTCAGTGAATAGCACAGGCTTTTGTTCAAGACCCTGTTGTATACAAGTGAATCCAGTTGTACACAATTAGGCTTGGACATACACAAGTTGTCAGAAACATCACCAATCATAGAACCTGCATTTATACATGCAGGCCTTGGGTGGGCTCCAAATAGTTGCTTGTTTCATAGTTAAACAAAGCTTTAAAAAAAGTCATTGCTCCTGCAATTAAACCAGCATCAAATTTGCACACAGTCTGCTTGGCATCACCTCTTTGAAAACATTTAAATGGAAATAAAACTTTGGAGAGAAAGAGGAATTTTTTAAAAAGCTGTCTTGAAACACAGCCAACTAATCACAGGGTTTCTTGTTACCTTTTATTATTTAATCTATAGGGGTGATCAAAAGCTGTGTGTAATCATTGCAGTGCAAAAGCAGAAGATACAAGCATGATTAAGGAACAGAAAAACTAAGAAAGGTTTCTACATTTGCTTGCAATTCATGAAAACTATGTCTTTGAGTCTGAAATAAAGCCCATGTTAAACAAGGCAGTACAGCTGTCAAGAAGAAATGATGGGAAATGCAGTCCAACAATATCTCTAAGGCCACACGGCCCCATCTTCCTTCTGTCTATCTGTCTGTCTCTCTTTGTTTGTCTAGAGGGGGATGGAGGTGTTCAGGAGAACAGATTCAAAGGCCATGCAACTGAGGAAGAAAAACATTCCAGGAAAACTTTAGATTGGCCTGGAACTCCTGAACACCATGAAATCTGCAATAAAGTGTGTGTGTGGGGGGGGAGAGGCAGAGAGAGAAACAGAATGAGAGAGAGAGAGAGAGACTGACTTCCTGCTAAGCACGCAGTGGAACTCAGCCTGGCGGCATGTCCTTAAATCACCTCTTTTCTCCCAGACGCTGCAGAAGCAAGCAAGCAAGCCGGATGAGCTGGCACGCAGCACTGGAAGCAGCCCTGCCAACCCACCCTCACACAGAGTGGACTGGAAATTTCTCACCAGGCACTGGACTGGGGTGGCATGCACATTATCAGATCTGGGGGTGGGGTGGTTGGCTTTTGCTCTGTGACTCACCACGTCCTCCCCTTCCCCCCCCATGCACTCTCCAGCTTTGTTATTTGGTAGGGGGGGGGCGTGTGTGAGGAGCTGAGATGCAGATAAGGCAAAATTACGAAATCGGTGTCAATTGGACTGAAGGAGGTAAAGCGCCACCTTCTCAAGGGGAGGGAGGGGGGTTTGTTCTTCCCCCTCACAGGATCCAGAGCAACCACCCACTCCAAATATAGCTCGGGGTGGGGTAGGGACAGAGCGGGTGGGTGGGGGTGGGTGGGAGAGGAGGCGGGCGACGTCATGCATCAAAATAGCCATGTGAACAAGGGCGGCGTGGGTGGGTGGGGGGTTGGGGGTTTCTTCGTCTCTGGCTGAGCCCAGCCACCCACCCACCGACCGCTGGGAGGAAGCCCTGCGAGGCGTGTCCACACTGCTCTGGCGGCCTGGCTGGGAATGCCAAAGAGGGCAGGAGGAGGATCGGGCAGCCTTTCCACAACAAAGCTCCCAAAACGACAAAGTTGACCCAGGGCAGACACCCAGGGAGGGGCCCGATTCCTCCGCAACCGATGGGGCGAGGCGGACTCTCCCTGGCACTTTTGCAGTCCATCTCTTGGGCGTGATTTCGTGCCAAGGCGGCAACTGGTGGATCCTGAAGATTCCTCACCCTGGAGCGCTTTCCACTGCTTGAGTCAGGAATGACTGGGTGACTTACTCACCAAGTAAAGCCTCCCCACCCGGAGCACACCAACCCACTGCTCTGGGCCCACAAGATGGGCAAGTCAGTCCCACTGCACTCCCGGGGACGGGGATGGGGGCTTCCCCCAAAGTCTCCTGCCGGGTCCTGGGCTGCCAGATCCCCAGAAGGGCCCACCTGGCAGGGAGGCGATCCCCAGCCCTCCCCCCCCGGGGGGCGCAGGTGGAAGGGGGGAGGAGGCTGTTAGGGTTAGTGACCAGACCCAGCGGGGAGGGTCCTCAAGGCCTCCAGGTGAGGGAGGGGGGCAGCCACCCACACGCGGCCTCGAGGGCCCAGGGGGGGAAAGGGTGCAAAGCGGGCGGCTCGGCTGGACTGGGCTGCGAGTGGGTGTGCGGGTGGGTGAGCTGCGCTGCCCCCGCCACGCAAGAGGGCGAGCAAAGAGGCACGGATCGCGCTCATCGCCTTGGCACCTGGGCAACTTCCCGAATAAGGGAAGAAAGGAAGCCTATAAAGCAGCCGAGGTTCATCTCAAAAACACCCTCTTTTTGCTCTTTTTAAATTTGCCCCCCCCCACAGTGGT